ATCCTAATGTAACAGGCAACTGAGGACAGGGGATTTCACACTGTGAAATACAAAGTAAGAGGCACAGGAATAAATATCTTGTAGGTACTTTCACAGAAGTGGGCTGTACCTTGGTGACCTATTAACTCTTGATCTAGGGATCACTGGGGAAAAACCTCCAAAGTTTTCATCTTAATGATGAACAGTGGTGAAAAAAGGGAAAATGATTGATGGGAAATACTAGATAAGGAAAAAAGCATAAATGAGAGAATAAACCAGAATATTAAAAATATTTGTGTCTTGATTATGACATCTAATTCCCATCATTGTCTCTAAGGACTTGATAACACCATAAAAAAGCATGGAAACCAAAGTGGAGATGGAGGGGCTGCAGACAGGGGCAGACAGATTATATTGCCAGTTCTCTCTCCATAAATGTGTGTAATACCATTCAAAAATATCTCTGGCCTTTACAGATTCCCAAAGTGATATCTTCAGCAACAGCCTGGATATGGTTTTGGAAGTCCTTAAAAATATATTGCCAGAAGCCAGGAATCTCTATCAAGGGAAGTATCCCTCAGTATTTGCTCCAATGCTTCACAGTCCTTCCTTTCCCAGCCTTTTATCAGTGTAAGCTTCAGGCTAAACTCGGGCACAAGATACTGAGAATGCAGGTTCCTACCCACCAGTTCATCAGGCTGCTTTTTCACAAATTGTAATACTTTCACATGAAACTACATAGACAGATATATTAAACACATGTTCCATTTGTGAATGTATATATATGAGCCTTTGTGGATATTTAAGTGTAAGCCAGTGTTTAATAAGTCAACTAAATATTCACTTCAGAAGGAAAACTGCCAGATTATTTTTGGATACCAGTATTGTGGAAAGCAAATCCATAACACTCTTCAATTAGCTGCCTTGCACCACAGAAGATAGCCAGAAAAAATAATCTGATACAGACTTTATAGTAAAATTGACCATTTTAGTGTTACAATGTAGTGTTCCAATTGGGGTAGTTTCAAACAGAATATTCAAGCTTAATCAGTAAGATGGCTATTTACTGTGAACAATTGCCCCCCTAAGCAATGAAGAGTTAATCTAGTGGAAATGTTTGACATGAAGTTGCCTAGGAAAGAACATATGGAATCTATATATTATGGAATTGATAGGTTTAGTGCAGCCCTAGCTGGTCCATGTATAAGCATAGAGGAATAATGGAAAAAACTTAGAAAATATACAGTAGGCTGTGACAGAAGTTGCAAATTTGTCACATGTAATTCATATGATCAATTACACTCAGCATAGTCAGTGAAAGAAATGCATGAGGAATGCGAAAGTAATTCTGCGGATATTTTTATGTATAAATATATAAAAATATATAATAAGATCTTTTCCTTTAATGTGCGTTTAACACTGGTATGTCCCTACTCTAAGTCATCTGGAATATAGCTTTGATAAGGGTATAACCTTGGTTTAAACTCACAATATATTTGCATGCTTACATAAGCTGTAATGCAACACAAGCAGGCATAGCTGCCAGAAGTAACACACGTGATTAAATTTTACTTAAGGACAACATATTTTGCTAATGCTAATTCACAAACTTGGAAATTACAGCTCCCTTTTCATTCCTCATACATAAATTTCCATTTCTGCTTTGTCAAAAAATTTAGAACCCTTATTGAATCAAGACAATTTTTTCAGAAAAAAGATATCGATGAAACCAATTTAGTATCAGGAAAAATAAATAAATACATATTAGTAGTCCAACCCTTAAGCTTTTATAAGTCTCTTCTTAGCCATAAAATGACAGCATAACAATCTCTGTTCTTAAAATACTAGTTCTGGATTGTAATCTCACTCCATCTCCATAGTTTCTCTTAAGGGAATTTTATATCATTGTTCTTTCCAACATAAATTCTTCACCAGAAAGTATTCTGTACCCCATTTACTATGTGAGCAACACACTGTCAACTTTGGAGGTATCAATATCCCCCCACAACAGAAACAATGCACACTACCAGAAATAATGGAAGTCACAGATGGATACAGTCCCCTGTTTGTTACATCAGTGAGTAACCAAAGGGCTTTTCAGAAGAATGTATTTTTTATTTATATCTGTGATTGGCTGTCCTCTCCATCATACATGAGCAAATTAGAGTACATGTATAGAAGGAACAAGGCTAGATAGCCATTCAAACTTTTAGACTAAAACAAGTAAGTTTCCTAGTTTGCAGTGAGCTTACATTGGAGTTCTAGAATACAGTAAACACCCTGCTAGTTTGTTTTTTTTTCTTTGTAAAAGGCATAGAAGGAATTTGGCTCCAGTAAAGAATGCACCACTAAAATGGCAATCCCAAAATTCTCACAATATGCATTACTATCATCTTTTAAAATAAATGGTATTGATAAGAGGGAAAGCAAAAAAAAATCCAGTATACAGAAACAGTAGAAGAAGTTTTAATAGAACTTCAAAGTGGATTTGAAGGGAAAAAAATAAATTTCACCTAAAACATGCATGGAAAATAACACACCAAAGTTCTAGAAAATCTACCATGAAAATTTACGTATGACAGATATGCCTAAATTGTATCTGTGTGCAGAAAACCACGCATTGAGGTCCTGTGAATTTCTATTTTTTTTACCTGTTCTATTAAAAAATCACAGAGGTCCAACTTTTTCATTGACTTGCAATTTTATTACAGCTCTGTGACTGGAACTCTGAATCTAGGGACAAATGCTAAAGCATTATTTCAGCCATCAAATCTTCAGTGACAGCAATTAGCACGAAGGTCAGAGATGTTACAAAACTGAGAACAGCGCAGCCATAAAAATTTCTAGGATGTGTGCAAGGGGTCTGAAACAAACTTTTCTGCCTAAAAATTCCCAGCCCCACTCAATCCTCTCTTATGGCTGCAGATTGTGGTACCTCAAGGGTGTTTCATACAATATACTTTATTGCACTGTCCAAATGGAATATATATACTGTACACTGGTTGTTAAGTCATGAGGATTTTATTAGCTGCCTTGCTTCATCTTTCTTGATCAATTTTCATCCATCCTGTATTTCTTGTAGAGGAAAACAAGAACTGTTATGGATAAATCTTCTGAAGGTAGTGAATGAGACTGAACAAAGTGAAGTTCAAGAGGATGCATTTTTGCCATGGCCTCTATTTCCAAAGGAGAATAGATTGAAAAGCATTTATTTTAAAATGCTGTACACATGAATCATTTAGTCATGCAAGTCCCAGTCAATGTAAAAGCCACAATGCATGGCACACCCTGAAGAAAGTTTCCCATTAAATACAACCATCATTAGCATTTTGTCTGCTACTGCACATACATATTTATGAAAATAAGAAAGGAAGGTGAATGAAGAGCAATAGAGAGACAGAATGAATACAAGCACTGCATTTCACTGTGTAAATAGCATTATTCATTACTATTTTCCTCATTTCTTTCTGATCAAGTCTTAAAAACAATTTAACAACTAACCATACATTTACTGGTGGGAAAACTTTATTCTGAACTTGCCACAGAAACAGATGTGAAAATATAATAAATATTTTCCATCTATAAATATTAGAACTGTAAATAATATTACTAGACAACTCTACAGGGGTGACAACAATAGTGCACCTATGTAGTGAATCTTTAGATGCACCTCTGTGGATGATGATAGTGAACTCATCTCTACACATCTATGGGACCAACAGGATTATCTCTACGTGTCTACTTATATCATGTTTTATCACATTCTGCTTTTCTTTATCACAAAATTTAAATACTAGTTCACTAATTCTATATAGCAACTTGTGTAGATATTTAGTGGCCTTCTGGATTGTATTTCAAAATATCACCCTCTAATCTGCATAGCAAAAGGGGCAACAGGATCCCTCTACACATTTCAGAAAGCTTCCAAAACTATTAGCAATTACAAGGAGCATTAAGTGACTAGTACTTGTAAAGTATTGGGAAAACACAGCTTAGGAGACAAAACAGCAATAACCGGAAACGAGTACTGAGAAGTTAAAGACTTCCCAGCCCAGAATGAATTAACTTCTGCTACCTGTAGGGAAGCCTGCAGTGCTACCTGGCAGCAGGACAGAAGCAGTGTGCTTGAGTTGTAAACACACTGCTCAGGACCACTTCAGAATCATCCATTAGGCAGAGAACCCATTTAGTTTATTCTCCTGCTCCAAACATGATTTTTGTCTTATCTGGCAAATGCCTATTTTGTAGAGAAAATTCTTCAAACAAAAAAACTTCCGTGCTTCAGCGTCTTTACTACAGTTCACCTTTCTTTGGAGATAAAACTATTCTCTTCCCTATTCACTAATTTTTTGAAACCTTACCATGTTCTCAGTCAATCTTCTCTTTTTTAACTTAAAAATCCAATGCATTTAATATTTTCTTGAATATTAGGGTTTTGAGACCTTAAGCCAAACTTTCCGATCATTTTCGACTCCTGTTTTTTGCATTGCTGAGAGCCACCTTAAGGCAATCATTACTTTTAGCACTCACAGCGTAGCAGGACGTGGATAAAGAATTGTCTCCTAATTCACAAGTAGGGGATCATGCAAGTGCTGCAGGAGTTTAGCAGCCACAGACAGGGACAGTAAACGGCAAGATGATGCTGTACAAACTAATTCTGTGCAGCAATGTTAGCTAGGAAGAGAGAACACACTTCATTATGTGAAATAACAGATTTGGGTGTACACAGATCCCTGGACCTCAGCGTACCTGCCTTGAATATGTTTTTTTCTCTCTTCCTGTCCTCAGAGACTTTGACTCACAAGCTCTCATTTTGCAGGAGAACAAGTTTCTAAATAATAAATAAAGCTAAAACAAAACTGTAATCTATTTCTAAGCACAGAGAATGGCATTTCTAATAATAAGTTTTAGAGGTTATATTTTTATTTCAGTCTTCTCCTTACTTTCTCAGCAGAAAATGCACATTGAGACTATTAAATAATATGCAATTAGTTCTCAAATGTTTAAAGCTTCTTACTCACCTACTGGAGACATTTCTGGGACACTGGCAACATAAGGTCCATCCAGGAACTTTGGCTCATTGTCATTAATGTCCTGCACTTTGATGATGAACTCTGATTCAGGCTCTAGTGGTTTCTTGGTGTCAACATCCACAGCCTGAGCTCGGAGTGTGTAGAAAGGTTTTTCTTCTCGATCTAGGCTCCTTATGGCATGAATGTCTCCTGTGGTCTCATCAATGGTAAAAACGGTTCCAGCACCATCTCCTGAAAGGGTATATTTAACCGTGCCCACTCCCTTGTCCAAGTCAGAATGAAGCTGGAGAAGAAAAAATAAAAAGAACATAACATTAATGGCTTTTTCTAGGCTGGAAAGCAATTTATTTATTTTTTTTTTCCTCTTATATAATAAAAGGCAATAGAGGAATGAATTTCTAGGTCCTTAACTGCATTTAAATGCATGGGAAAAAATGCAAGTAGCATGTTATCAAATATTTTTATTGCTGTCTAGTATTCAGTACAGAGAGCATTTAAAAATTCTACTTGCTTTCTCCCATGAATACTGTTCAGTATTAAAACTGCATTGAAGGAGGTCTTCAGATTTGTCACAAACTGAAATTTAAGACCAGGGATGGAAAACCACATCAAGCAATCATGAGATGGCATGACTGAGTGTCAAAAGCTTTTACAGGCATGTGGCTTTCAGAGACGTAGAAGAGATCTTAATTTTCCTTTCACACACAAAAGCTTGATGGACCCCTAAACTCAAACTCAAACCTGGTTTAAAAAAGACAATATACACCTCTTAATTACAGTAAACACTCAACAGAACTAAAAATACTACCTCTTTTAAATGTGTGATCGATTGATTGCCTCCTTTCTGAGAGTCACATTGCAGACAGTGTGAAGCTATCAGTCCTTTTGCTCACTGGAAGAATACAGTATTCAATAATTTCTGCCTTAATTCTTTCTACCTTAAATACCAATATCCACATTTTCCAGGCTGTTAGTATGCTAAATCTCTGTTTCTAATTTGAAAAAAAATAAAAATAAAAAAATCAACATAAGTTCTTGGACATTTTTGTCCATTTGATCAGTGTTTATACTACTATAGTGTGGCCATGAACATTAGCTCAAATGCAAGAAATTTTGAAACCAAAATATAGTGTGATGAACTTCTTTCTCAGAAGCCTTAATCTGTTTCACATTCATCCTTTAAATACATATAAAAGTTTTGAATATATACTCAAGGTTACATCACTGATACTGAAAATCACTTTTAAAACATTCCCCTGCTTGTCCCATCTAATGAAGACTAAAGAGATCTACTGTAATGGACACAGGTTGGAAGAGAGTTTTCAAGAGTAAATCCCCTCAAGCAGTATACCAAAGCAATTATGAATGTAGGCTTTATTTACATGATGTACTACCCAAGGTGAAATACAATAGAGGAAGCATGGGACATGAAAGGAGATTATGTAGAAAATAAATGAATGAGAAACTAAATGGTTTTGGTAATGGGGCAAGAAGCTAAGCTACAGAGAAAGAGGTAAAGGCAATTATTAACATTTATAGCTATTGCCTTGAAATTGAAAATAGGTCCTTGTGAATGTGGAAGAGGTCATGGTTTGTGGGACAGAGCGAACAAGAACATAATCTCTTCTTTGTCTGTTTTTTTATTCCATCATTCC